GGGAAACGCGAGCTTGCTCTGCCGGGGCTCCGAAGGGGCTGGGAAGGGCCCTCTGCTCTTGGCTGCGGAGCACAGCCCCACTTCGGGTTTTAAATTTTTAGTTTTTTTCTGTTTAAGCGCATTCGATTTTAGTTCTAGTTTGGCCTCATGAGTGTTTTTTTCTCTAACATAATAAATTAAAATCCTCAAATCTAGATTTCCTGCTCTTCAGGGATAGGATGTTTCCTGTGGCTGCGCTTAACCTCCTCTGGCTGCTCTTTAGAGTAGAAGTTGAGATGTTAATGGGCCCCGCCACCCCCCAGCCCGCAGCTTGAGCACGCCTTGGGGGTTGTTTTTCCTCTCATTTGTGGCTTTTCTCCTTGTTTGAGTGAGCTGGGACGGTGCAGAGTGAGTGCGTGCGCGCGGGCCGGGCGCAGGTTGGCGCTTGCTGGCAGAGGTGTGCCACATTCTGCCCACTCGAGCCCCAGAGGACACTGCTGGTGGCGGGCAGGAGCGAGAACCCGACCTGCCGTGGCCCCCGCGCGCGGCTTCTGTCCGTCCTGAGTGTGTCTACGTTTCCTTTCCCCCAGAGTGAACTTGTTACTCTGCAGTGAGGGATCGCCAGCCGATTAGTATTTGCTTAACGATGTCCTGATACTGAAGGTTGTATGGATTTGATAGCAAAATACAAATTCCGCTTCATGACTGTTTTAACGTTATTAATTGAAATTAGTGTCGACTTGGAAAAGTGTACCCCAAAAGATTACTATAATGTTTGTCTTTGTTTTTAGAGCATATTAGTTGAGAAAAATCATTCCATGAGACCTTTTTCCCAGAGCATTGTAAAGTTTGAAAGAAATTTTGTAATCTCATAATTTGATGTTTTTAAGGTTCCATTGTCAGTTTTCTATTTCTAAACCTCAAAACTCTGTAAGCCTCAAAATATTTGTATCCCCACCCAAACATACGCTAATTCTCTAATCTAATCTCTCATGGGCTGCTGTATTCCAAAAGGAATAGCAGGTTTGATGTTTTTAAAAATTACATTCTATTTGAAACTAATAAAGACTTTCACTGCAAATAATGAATTAGCTTTAAGTTGCTTAGGGAATATAATTTTTCACTAGTAAACCTTTGGAAAATAGATCTTTATTTTAATTGTAAAGTCTAAAATAATCGTTTTCTTTCCTCTGAAAGATTTTACAAAGTGATTTGTGTCCCCCTCTAAGCTGTTTTTCTTAGGATATCATGTTGCTGCTATCTTTAGAGGAATGAAATTTTTAGTTTAGATTGATTTAAACAATGTCTATTTTAGCTGGTTAAGGTCTGTAGTCTGAGGCAAGAGAATTTGAGGTCAGCCTGGGCTCCATAGTGAGTTCAAGACCAGCCTGAATTACAGAATGAGACATTACCAAAAAAAAAAGAGAAAAATCTGTATGTACAACATGAAAAATGTCATTAAAATTAAAAATGTCATTTCATTAAAAAAATGCTGATCTCTTTTTTACTGAGATGTTCCTTCCAGGTTAGCAGCTCTCACTGTCCAGATTTAGAATACAGAGAAGGAAGGCGCATTTATTATAGTTAGAAAGCAGTATTCTCAAGACATGTAACCCTCCCTTTTCCAGACACCTGGTAACAGGTGAGGCGCACATGAGCAGATGAGTGGTTTGCAGGGTGCACATCACCCCAAAGCAGACACTCTGAGCGTTTGCTCCCTCAGCGGATTGCATGGAAAACCACTGATTATGCTAATGGACTGTGTGTTTGGCCAGACCCTAGATACTGTATTTCTCACTGAGGTGTGAGTGTCCCAGAGGCCCCTATGGTAAAAACTGCTTTTACACAGTGCTCCTGGCTATTTGGAGATGCTGCCAGAGAACATCCCCTTCCCCTCCTAGCACTGAGGGTGACGGACTACTTGGTTCTTTCTTCTGAACGCCGTGTGATTTGTTTCTAAGACCCATTTGTGGTGAAATTTTATTTGTATCCTAGCACCCTGCAGTCAGACATGTTTGGACTGGATTTTGGGTTCTGATCCTTGCTCTTCTGCTGTGTGGGTTTCTTACATTTGTTTTTTTTCAGTCTGAAAGTAGAAAGAAAATGCTTGGATGTAAGGAGTAGGTGAAATGGTGTATGCACTTTGCCCTTGGTAGTTGTGAATTCTACTAGCCCTAGCCCACCTTGCTTTGCTAGTAGCACTATCTAGATACTATTTCTGGTATTTGCTTGTTTTCTCACAGAAAAACTAGAAATAATACATTCTTATTTTATACTCGGAGAATAGACTTACTTAGGATGCCCTATATTAGCCCCTTCCCTTGGGCTGGGCATGCGACCCAGGGCCTTGTACAAGCAAGGTAAGCAAGCAGGCTGCCTCCAAGTTGCCCCCAGCTGGTCCCACTTAACATTGTGATGTGTTTTCCTCATTTTTGTGTGAACCTATAAACATGAATGTAGGCTTTTCTAGTAACAATAGTTGTATTTTTTTTTTTGTTGTTGTTGTTGTTTTATTTGATGCTTTTGAGACAGGGGCTTGCTACGTAATTTAGTCTGGCCTTGAACTCGCTATGCTCAGGCTGCCCTTGCAACAGCCTCCCTCCCTCAGCCCTGAGTGCTGAGGTTACAGGGGTGCGTTACCAAGCCCAGTTTAGGTGTGTAGTGAAACTGCTGTGCTCTTGAGTCTCACTGACTTTGAACCCTAGCTGTTTAACACTGGGTAATTAATGTCATTTCACCTCACAGTCTCAGTTTCTTGATTTGTGAGAGGGGATGACAGTGCGTACTACACGTGGTTGCTGTTCAAATTAAATCTGGAATTGCACATCAAGCTTCTAGAATGGTTCCAGTACACAGCCTTATGTCTTCCTCTAAAGATCTCATTGAGATTAATATTCTCGCATTGATGTGAGCGTTTAGTGCATTCCTGACTCAGTGTATATTAATAATACAAATACATATGAGGGTAAACAATATCATAATTACCTTTAGGGGCAAATAAATATTTTTTGTGCTAGCAAAGATTGCGCAATATATTCATAGAAAGTTTCGACTATGAAACTTTGGCTGCTAGAAGTTATCCTGGTCTCTGCTTTGGAATCCTGAGTTAGGAAACAAGGAGGCGAATTTTGTTTTACTCCTAGCTTCTTTGTGTTTGTAAGTCACATGTAAGGCTTGGAGGTCAAAGCAGGCTCACATCGGAGTGGTAGCCTGAGATGTTGGGAGTTGTTGAAGCCTGCTTTCTTTCATTAAACTGATGCTTTCTTTTTCTTTACAACTAAATGCTTAATCTCTGCCTTGTGGAATTCTCAGTCTACTGGAGAAGAAGGAGCTGGTATCTCAACCTTGAATGACAGGGCAGGTTAGCCTGGAGGAAGGAAACCTATTTTTCTCCTCTGGTCTGGCCCGAGGGCAACCCTGAAAACACAGGCTCTGCCTGGAGGTTTCTGGCCTGTGCCTGGGCGGGTCAGGTATTCCCGGAGGTGGGACCTTCGCCCAGGGACAAAAGAGTGTTCTGTATTGCAAATTGTGGTTCCTTCTGGCCCGGGAGTTGGGGGAGTAGGGTAATAGGTGGTGAGAAGAGGTCTGCCTGGCCCAGGCAGGAGGAGTTTGCTTGTTAGACAGGAATTTTGATAAGTTTCCTAGATTTATAAGCAAATACTGTGAAGGTCTTTGGCCAAACAAGTTGTTTATAATTCTGAGGATTCAAGTTGTCCGAAAAACAACTAAAAGACGGCAACACCTGAATTAGACCCGTGGGGCAGCTACTGAGAAGAGAGTGATGGGGGCTTGAAGCAGGGAGCTGCGAGATGGAGAGGAGGAGGAGGCAAAGGTGAGGAAGGTAAGCGGCTGTCGTTGGCCCTGTGCATGGCACCAGCACAGGAGGTGGCAGGAGAGAGCTGGTGGTTCTTAGGACAAGCGTGCATGGTCGCATTGACAGTTGTGCGCATCTGGCTGGACCTCTCACTTGGGGCACACGTGGAGACGCAATGCTAAATGTTTTGTTTGACCTAAGATTGCGTATATGACTTCGTCACTGCTGTTGCATAGACAAGGAAACATTTGTGAAGTTATTTGGTTAATGTTCATCTTGTATGTTTAGAATTTTTAATGAATTACTGACACATGTGAAATCTTGGCGTTTTTAAAAAAATCTTTTGAAAGTTTGGAAGATGTGAAAACCCTATATTTGTTATTTTAAAAAATAATTATGACTTGCTGGAACTTGTTTGGATCAGAACATACATGGTCCCTGTAGGAATCGCTTCCTGCATCCCTATAAAATAAGACGTGTGAACCTGGAAGTAGAGAATGAGAGTGAGGTGGCTAGCAGCTGGCTGCAGAGGAAGAGTGTGTGTGGTGTTCAGCAACAAAGGGATTGGTTTCAGGTTATTTATTTATTTTGTCTTTTTGAGACAAGGTCTCACGGTGCAGTTCAGGCTGGCCTTGAGCTCACTTTGTAACTTGGTGGCTAGTCTGGAACATTCCCAGGAGTCTTCTGCCTCAGCCTCCTGAGTGCTGGGATTCAGGTGTGTGCCACCATGCCTAGCCATTTCAAATTCTTGGAAGAGGAGAACTTTGAAAAGTTTACCTGTGGCTTAGTTTTTTTCTGTCTCTTCCTGCAGCACGGGGGTCCTGCAGTAGAGTGAGAGTGGCAAGGAAGAATTCAGAAAGCATCTGCTGTAGAAGATGATTAACTAGAGCTAATCCATGTTATAGCCAAGCCAGAAGGGACCCATTCTGCTAGCATTTCTCATCACAAATAGACTAGTATAATGGAAAATTGTTTTATATGGATCCTAGGAAAGAATTCTCTGCGGATTCTGCAGCTCGGGCCTCAAAAGGTGGGAGGGCCTGAATTAATGGAGAATTACACAGTGCCATTTAGGAACCACTAGCGGCTGGAGGGCATTTGAGCCCCGCAGATTCTAGATTAAAGTGATAGTACTAATAAACTACTACTTACTGCTCCAATAGTAGTTAACGCTAAGTGATTACTATGTACTGGCTACCATGCTAAGCATAGTTCATGAAATACCTAATTTAATTCTCCTAAGTGACTCAGTGAGAGCTGTACAATTATAATCTTCCCTTTACAGATGAGACCTTTACCAGATTTGAGCACCATTCCAGATTGCTGCCAGAGCCAATGAGTGATCTCTACTGCTACATAAACTCTCCTTACCCTTCTGAGAGACCCAGGTGAGGAACCAGCGAAAAGGCCATTTAAGTTATTTCAAGTTCATAATGCAGACTTACCTGTACAGAGCTGTCTGAGCAGTCTTTGTCCCATAGACATTTACTAAGCATTTATTCTATTTCATTATTTTACCATTTTCATTTTTGATACTGGGAAACAGACACAGGGCCTCAGGCTTGCCAGTCATACACTGTATTGCTGAGCTATATCCCTGGCCCAACATTTATCTTATTTTTAAATGTTCTAGTTTGAACCTTTTTTTTTTTAAGGGAAAGGTCTACAAGGGTGTTCAGGGTTTCACTACTAGATAGACTGATAATGATTCTCCTGTTTATAGCCTCCCAAGTGCTGGGATTACAGATACATGCCACCACACCCAGTCTCTGTGTGCCCTGGGGGAGGGGCTAGTGCTCACTGGCCCAAGGATTGAACTCGGGCCCCTGTGCCTGCTTGCAGATGCTTTAATCCCCTGAGCTATCTGGCTGGCCCTTAAAAGTGTGTGTGTGTGTGGGGGGGTACTGAAGATTAAACTCAGGATGACCTCAGGACCTTGACCTTGCCAGGCAGGTGCTTATGCTGCTGAGCTATCTCCCCAGGCTGCTTTCTTTGTTTTTTTTTTGACCCAAGGTCTCACTGCCTATGTATTCTAGGCAAGCAATGCTGCCTCTGCCCCTTGCATTTTGTTGGGATTCCTGGTGTGTGCCATTATGTGCGTGCGTGCGTGCTTGCTTGCTTTCTTGGCAGAACCAGGGATTGAACTCAGGTCCTGGCACTTGCCAGGGAAGTGCTTATTCTGAGCCATCTCTTCGGCCCTTTTTTTTTACATTTGGGGGTCATGGGCAGTTTTCTCACTTTTTTTTTTTTTTTTTTTTTTTTTTACCTCTTTCAGTCATGTCAGTTGATTTTTTTTTTTTTTTCGTCAGTTGATTTTTAACTCAGTCAAATTTTACTACTTTTCATATTGATACATGGGTGGTATGTCTTAAAATCAGTATATTCATTTATTTATTTATTTATTTTCCCGGAACCGGGGATTGAACTCAGGCCCTTGCGCTTGCCAGGGAAGCGCTTATTCCATTGAGCCATCTCCCTGGCCCCTTAAAATCGGTATAAATGGGTAAGGCATGGAGTATTGTATAGGCCTGTAATCCCACCACTCCCAGAGGCAGAGACAGGAAGATCACTATGAGTTCAAGACCATCTTAGGGTGCATAGTGAATTCAAGGCCAGCCTGGGTACCTAGGGAGACTCTGTCTCAAAAAGCAAAAAGCTTAGTTTTAGCTTTTTAGTATCATTAAAAAATGCAATCGTATTTACCCTGTAACCTTTTTGCAGGGTCTTGAACTCACTATAGCCCAGTCTTGCCCTGAGCTCTGCAGTGATCCTTCTGCCTCAGTCTCCCCAGCATGGAGATTGCAGGTGTGTGCCAACACGCCCCTTTCCCTTCTGCTTTTGAGGGGCTGGCATTGAAGTTCAGATTTCATGTACAAGTCACTTAGCATGAGCTATGTACCCAACCTGGAAAATCTGATAATAATTAAAAGTTACAGCCAATAAGACATTTGATTATATAAGATTATATGTTTCCTAGTGTGCATCTTACATTTAATGTTAATGAGTAAAGTGATGTCAGCTCCATCTCTGATGACCCTAAGGGAAAAGGAGTACAGCTGGCGAGGTGCAGGGGTGCAGCTCCACAGTGGAGCACTCATTTAGTATGTCTAACCCAGTGCCCTGGGTTGGACACCTAGCTGTGCAAATGGGCAAACCCGTGAACAGTCCTGAGTTGGAAGCCTACAGATAGATGATATTTCCCCCTGAAGACTTTCTTAGTGCTTTTGTTATAATTTTTTCTTTATTAGAAAGGAAATACACTTGGGAGCCTGAGGCAGGAAGGATGGCAAGTTCAAGCCCAGCTTGGGCAACTTACAAAATCTGGTTTCAAAAAATTTTTAGAAATACTGAGGTTCTCAGTTTCAGTGCCAAAGCCCTAGAGATTCCTAGTACTAAATAAACTAACAAATAAATAGGAAAAATCATTTCTTTGTTTCTTTTTTTTTGGTACTTGGAATTGAACTCGACCCTGCGTTTGCCAGGCAGGCACTGTGCCTCTGAACTATATCCCTCGTCCAAAAACTTTTTTTTTTTTTGGTGGAACCGGGGATTAAACTCAGGCCCTTGGATTTGCCAGGGAAGCACTTATTCCACTGAGCCATCTCCCTGGCCCCCAAAAATTATTTCTTAATGTAGAAAAGATCAGGTGACAAGTTGTTCTAGTTCATAGACAAAGTTATTTTGACATTAAAGTAATACTCATTTGTCATTTTTTAAAAATTTATTTATTTGTGTGTGTGTGTGTGGCCAGCTCAGCCCACCAGGGGGCGGGGCTGGCTGGCATGTGGTGCTGGGGGATTGAACTGTGGTCCC